GTAAATTGCATATCCTTTAAATATATACTAAGGTAGGCCTCATGAACACTAATAAACAATGAAGATAGGAGACATACTAATGAATGCTATTAATAAAATTCATAGAAAATTATAACCAGGGGCTAAAATCAACTTATAGATTTTTGTCAATCCTTTTACTAATTAGAAAAATCCCAAACTTAGATCTTGTTCCCATCTCTCTTTTTAGGAAAGTCAAGAGAGGTGACATGTCTAAGGTCTACAGCAAAAGAATCACTGCCACAGACTAGGACCAGGAGAATATTCTTTAGCCCTCAACTCATTAGATCCCATAGTCAGTCAAACAAAATGATACTGAAATGATTAACAAAAGACACTTACTTCAATAGTCAATCAGATTAAAAGGCAATAAATGCACATAATATCCTCATTACTCAGATGTGTATCGTGTCTGAAACCTCAACGTGAAGTTTATGTAATTTAGGCTACAGGAAATGTCAGTACAATGCCAGTTGGGTGAAAGCTGTAATAAACTCACTTCTCCCAACTCTTTACTTTGACATTTCAGAATATCAGTTCAAGAGGGATAAACTACTAATAAAGGATAAAAGACTGCTGAAACAACTCAATAAAATAATAATAAAACACTTTAATGGTGATAATGAACTTAGATTCCTAGAGATTTTTAATAGGCAACAAGCAAACCCTATATTTCACAAGAATTGGTAATTTTTCTGGCATTGAACCAAACCAACGTCAGCCTTTTTCTATAAGAAAGTTAATTCAGAATTTTAAAATATCCTAATCATATTTCAGCTAAAACTTGAGATCTCTTAGGGGTAAAATAATCTCAAAGACATACAGTTTACAATATTTACCATTAATTTAAAAGTCTGGGCTTTTAATACCAGGCTTCTGGCCCTGGGCAGTTTGGCTCAGTGGTTACAGCATCAGCCCGTGAGCTGAAGGGTCCCAGGTTTGATTCTGGCCAAGGGCATGTACGCCGGTTGCAGGCTCTAACCCTGGCCTTAGTCGGGGAGCGTGCCAGAGGCCACCAATCAGTGTGTCTCTCTCACATGGATGTTTCTCTCTCTCTCTCTCTCTCTCTCTCTCCCCCTCCCTCCCACTCTCTCTGAAAAGCAATGGACAAAATATCCTCAGATAAGGATTTAAAAAAAAAAAAAAGAAAAAACCAGGCTTCTGAACTACTGATTTTGCTTCCCTCATAGGCGTTACAACTCTGGTAGCTGTGCTCAAACAGGGATTCCTGCTAACAGACCAGGCAGGTAGGCTTTCTTCAGTCTCAGATTTATACAGAATATAGTTACCCGGATTTTTTTTTTCCAACACTATGCCTTTTAGATGAACATGCCTTCATTAACCAATGTCTATAAACGTGATTCATAACTAAGAGAAAGGTTATTTCATATAAACATCATGCAGTGCTTTGGTGTCCCACAGAAACTATAATTGCCAATCACTACAGTTTAATGTTCACTTATGTTACTTTTGGGGAACATTCACTTAAAAAATCCTAGGTACGAAACAGACTGATTAGACTTATAATGCACCACACCCCAAATTGGTATGATTTCAATTAGGAAACAATCTTAGAATGAGATTTTGGAAGTTGTGAATTAATGTGACTTTTTTTTTTCATTTTTATTGAATTTATTGGGGTGACACTGGTTAACAAAACACGTTTCAGGTGCACAGTTCCACAACACATCATCTGTATACTGTATTGTGTGTTCAACACGCCAAGTCAAGTCTCCTTCCATCACCTTATATCCCCCCATACCTTCTTCCACCTCCCCCCCCCAAACTACCCCGGGCAATCACCACACTGTTGTCTGGGCACATGAGTTTTTTTTCTTTTTTCTTTTTTTTCCTCTTTTTAGCTTATTCCCTCCACCACCACNCAGTGGACATATCTTATTTCTCCAGGATTAGAATTGCTGGAATGTATTTGAGGTCTGTTTAATTTTATATGAACTTTTCCAAAGTGACTACCATTTAACATTATCACCAACAGTTTATGAGAATTTCAGTTATTCCACTTTTTAAAATTTAATTTATTGAGGTAGCACTGGTTAACAAAATTATACAGGTTTCAGGTACACAATTCTATTGTACACTGTATTATGTGTTCACCACCCCAAGTTAAGTCTCTGTCTGTCACTATTTATCCCCCCCTATACCCTCCTCCACCTTCCTAGCAGTCACCACACTGTTGTCAGTGTTCATGAGTTTTTACTTAATCCCTCTACCATCCCCCACCTACCTCCTTTCCCCTGACAGCTGTCAGTCTGCTCTCTATCTATGAGTCTGTCTGTTTTGCTTGTTAGTTCATTTTGTTCATTAGATTCCACATATGAGTGAAATCATATCGCACTTGTCATTCTATGACTGGCTTAATTCACTTAGCATAGTGCTCTCCAGGTCAAAAACCAATATATCTCTAAACATTCATCTAAATGTTTGCTATGATCATTAAGGTAGAACTTATATATTTATTCTAACAGAATTGCTTGTGGTCAAAACAGCTTTTCATCAACTCTGGATATTCTCACTGGTAACAGACTGGATACAGTTTTCAGAAATCACCTCAAGTCACTCAGACCCCAGGCTGGTGCATAAATTGCATTTTCAATTAAAAAAAAAAACACAAGTGTCACTATCAAGTATGTTTAATGACCTAGTTATGGAAGTAATGCCCCAAAAGGGGGAAATTCCCTAAAAAATGTTTTGAGTAATAGTTATCACTGGAAGTAAATAACCACAAAGTGACCTCTTTGAAAAGATTACCTGTGGGGCTATAAGCTCTCGTATGTCTGAAAACAATTCCACGCCTCATGGGCATACTTCCTACATATACCTACCTAACTTTTATCCTGACGTGTGGGGCTTACAATTGACGTCAAAGTTATTTGGCTGTAGCCTGGCCAGCGTGGCTCAGCAGTTGAACATCAACCTACAATCCAGGAGACTGCTGTTTGATTCCCAGTCAGGGCATAAGCCTGGGTTGCAGGCTCGACCCCCAGCAGGGGGTGTGCAGGAGGGAGCTGATCAATGACTCTCTCATCATTGATGTTTCAATCTGTCTATCTCCCTCTCCTTTCCTCTCTCTGAAACCAATAAAGACATTTTTTTTAATTAAAAAAAAAAGTTATTTAGCTGTAAACCACTAAATAGTCTAAACCAGCAATTTTCAACAGATGTGCCACAGCAGTTTTAACTCACGCAATACCTGACTCTAGTCAGGGGCCCTAACCTCTTTCCTTTACATTGTCAAATTTAAAAAATGACAAGAGCCAACACAATAGCCATTTGGTGCAAATGAATCAAAATAATACCTTTTTTTTGTCAAACTGACAAAACATATATTTTTGGTATGATGCAGAATTTTAGTAATTAGTTTATATGTGTCATGAGATGAAAAAGGTTGAAAATCACTTGATCTATACTAATAGCAAAGTAGTTTTCAGATCACATGTGTCTAACAATCATTTTTGTCCCTCTATCTTCTGAACACAACAGAACACATTTAAATCAAACACTTTTCAAATCAAGACAAACTAATTTCCTATCAGCGACCAATTGGGCTGACCATATCACCCACTAAAAGTAGTTTAAACACTATTTGGCAACAACAATTCGGAATGTGACGTCAGAAGAGGTTAAGATACATCCCTGAAACTTTCCTGTGGCCCTTCTTCATATGCCTGTCCTACAACATAGTAGCTGGAACCACATGAAACTGACATTTCTGTAGGTCACAGATGGTTGAGTAGCAACAACTCAATGTAGCTCAACTTAATAATATTGCTCTAAAGAAGTTTAAACACCTATCAACAGAGCCGATGAGGTGAGCTTATTATCTACACAGCCATCTTCCCGTCAACAACCTGTATTTCCACAAAGCTTGATAGTTTATAAAAACCTATTAAGTTCCCTATGTCTTATGGAATTTTGCAACCCTGTGAAGTAGGCAGATTAGATACACTGACCTCCACTTCACAGGTGAGAAAATAAGGCTCAGATGCTAAGTCACTTGCTCAAATGTCCAAAAGTAATGGAACAATGAATGAAACCTATGCCCTTTGACTCCTCTTTGCTGCAAACAACCTTCCTTTAGAAGGATAAGCAACACCATCTAAGTACAAGCGCATGCACTCTCAGTGCTTACCAGTGGACAGATTCCATAAATACCTAGGCAGTAAGTGTCTCGATTGCAATTCTTAAGTGCTTTCAAAAATGTGAGTGTGTACCCAAGTACATTCTTATAATTTATTGGCTCACTTTTGCAACTGTACCCGCACACCTTCATCCTTACTTCCCTCAGGCCTCCTGCCCCTCACCCCAAAGGTCACACACCCAGCTAGCTGCACTACACACCCACTGAAGAACAAGCCATTACACTAAACATACAGTGTAGGACTCACACCATCAATCAGGGCACAAGACTATTTTACTTAAAGATAACCAAAGCCTGGGATGTGATTCTCAATAATATATTAATTAAATGAATGGCCCATGAGTCAAGCTGATTGTGGTAAAGTAATGACTCCACTTACAACTTAAAAGGAAAATGTGCTACTGCCTAAATTTGTTCTACAATCGTCACTATTTATTGATAAAAGGAAAACATTTTATATGAACTTCTAATGCAGGCAATTCCATACATTAGAATAATCAGAGTAGGTGGCAGCTGGTGCAATGTAATAAGGCTTCCTCCTCAACCACTCACCCCTTCTGGCCCATCAAGCATTAATAGAATCTTTCTTGTTTATTAATTTAAAATAATATATATTTCACCAATGCTATCTTTAGATACAGAGACTGATAATCCCTTCCTACTGTCTGGCACTGTGGGGTGTCAATTTGCAGGGATCAAATCTCACTTGCTACCAAGAAAATATATCTGTGACTATGGTAGCCATGGAGAGGGAAGTAAAGATACTTCATAACACACACACACCTTTGCTTTTAAATTATTTGTAAATGCTTTAAGTACTTACTCACACAACAGAACACCATTCTCTAGAGAGGCTCGAAAATCCTTTGTTTCAAAATTCTTCGCTGTTACTGCCTGAAAGACAGATTTGGGTATTAATTTTCTTTTAGTCAGGGATAATACACAAGTCAAATTCAGTATCAGATTAATTAATATGCAACTAATGTTATAATTGAAGGATGTGCACATATCAAAAGTTGTTCCACGTAAGAAATTCCATGAGGTTCTATGTTACAAAGAGAGAGGTTAATCATTTCAGTATGAAAAAATAGAAACAGAACAAAATACAATGAGTGTTTTCTGTAATATAACCATTTTGTGGATAATAAAAGTTAGAAGCTAAATTTCTAACATATTTTCTATTAAAAAACCTATGGGCAATCTATTCTACTAAGAGTAATAAAAACAGATTAAGACATAAACTTGAAATACCAACTCTATATGTATAGAATTAATTCCAATACCATCCTTAAATTCCTCAAATTTCATTACAAAGATAAATAGCAGAGGGCATGACTCTCCTTAAATGCATTCATGAAATGGCCTGGATCTGTGTAAAGAGATATTTACTGAAACATCCTATGGAGAAAACTGTTATACCCTGACAAAGGACAGAGAGGGGAGACAGTAAGAATTTTAAGGAGACAATTCCCCATTTAAGGTTCTAACATATGAACAGGCCACTTAAGGTTACTGCCACCAATGTTCTTAGCGCAACTGCTAGAAAAATCTCTATGGAGTCTCTCTCTTGAGGGTAGAGCAGATGGGAGGGAAGGGGGTTCCATAGGGGAGATAATAGCAGAGAAAATAGTGGGAGGGGGAAATGCTCCAAGAAAAATTTTTGGGCCCCCAGCTAAGGGTGTGGGCAGGAGTCACCACCACCTGCCAGCAGGAGCCCTTGTTCCACCTGCCACTTCAGGAGAAAATATAATTTTGGAAACCTGATTTGGAAAGTAATTCATCTTAAATCCTAGGTGAGCCACAGTGCCCCCATTCTTACTCACCAATGCTAGCTTTACCATCCACCTGGAATCCCTGTCTTCTGCATCTTTTCCCCAATGCCCAACACAGTTATAGCTAGACTTACTATCTGTTAAATGACAAAACAACGGGTAATTTTAGAATTAAAGTTAGTTTCTCATAAGTTTGTTCAATAAATATGGACAGGAGCCAAAGCCTGGAGGTGACACACAGAAAGGCAAGAACAAGTAGAAGATCCTTTCCTGTTCTCAGTATTGATCTACAGGACGGCTACATTGCTGCATGAATTAAACACCTGCTGAGTGTCTCTGTTGCAGGCACTTAACCTGGATACTGGGTGGAGATCTAAAGAAAAGAAGGCAGCTGTTCCCTCAAGAAGTTCACAGCCACATGAGCAAAACACAAAGTCTAAAAGCACAGTAAAAGCAAACAGAATGAACGGTACATTTTGGAGGAGATAACCTTGAGTGGCCCATGGATTATCCCAGGTAACCTGTGTAGCACAAACTTTCATTTTCCCCAAATAAATCCAATACAAACTCAAGATGAGCACTGATCCCAACTAGTGAAAACATAGTAATATCTCATTTATCTGGGAACTCCTATCCAAAGCCAAAAAGCATAGAAAGTCCCAGAAACATTGAAGCACATATGAAAGTCCACTTTCTCTAGTCATAAGGAAGCCACTCAGAACCACCAATACTTAATTGTCCTCCAGTGAAACAATCTAGAAATTATGTTTCCAAATCAAGGTAGATTAGAAGCAGTGGTTTAGAAGAAAAAAGGGCTATGCCCTGCAAACACATGGAGAGAAGTAAAGAGTGACAGTCAACAACACTGGATGGGTCAATCAAGAGGGCAGAGTGTATCAAGTGACAAAATGGAAAGAGAAAGGGCTCAACTCAGGCAAAAGTATATTCAAATCCCAATTTCATTACCTAATAGCTGTGTGATCTTAAGCAAGTTAAATAAACTCTCTGAACTCCAGTTTACTCATCTAAAACAGGGAAAATATCACCTACTTATTAGCTGTAAAGGCCAAGTTGCTGTGTAATCAAATACCTGAGGGTAGTTAACAGGAGTATATGCTTAACTTCATTACATGCATTGACCTTCAAGTTACTCTGACACCACACTCCAATAAATAAATCTCAAAGGAATACCTCTATACCATATATTCATAATATTAATTAATAAAATAGAAATAATGGACTATATAGAGCTATTCAGAAAGCCCAACTATCCAAAAAGTTCATTTTCCCCCCAAAACACTATAGAAAGTCAAACTCATAGATTTCAGACCACTCTCCTTACATATCAAAATATTAATGTACTCTTATACATATATACTGACCAAAGTCTAAACAACACCAGACCCTACTTAACGTTTATAAAGACTATAAAAAGTAAACAAAGATTTTTAAATACATAAAAGCCTATGTTGTAAGGACATGGGAACCTGGCATGCTCTGTACAACACTGAAGGTTATATAAAATGATACCACAATTCCAGAAGGCAATATGTAATATGTATCTGAAGTATTAAGTATGCTTCCTTTCAGACACACTATGCACAGATCTAGGAATTTATACTAAGACAAGACAAGAACCCAAAGCCATAAGTAGAACTGCTTCACAGCATTATGTGTAATAGCAACAGTTACAAACATCCTGAATGCCCAACAAGAAGTTGATTACATTATGATATAACCAGAAAACAGAAAACTACATGAAATTTAAACTCATGTCATGAAAGTAGATTTACTGTAAAGAATCCTTAATATATTAATTATAAAACAATTTATGAAATAATACATGAGTGTGATCCCAATTACTATAAGTATGCATTATATAAATAAATATGAAATAATTATTTCTGAGTGGTAGAATTACAGCTAACTTTAATATCTGTTTTTTTGATCACTTATATTCTGTAACAACCACAGGTGTTTCCTGTGTCATAGATACACAAATTAATATATTTTTTTAAAACAACGTTCAAAAGAGGTCAGAATCCATCAGATTTAGGTCAATTTTCTGTTTCTCCTATATCCAATGCAGGGGTACAGATCCTTTTTTCTGCCAAGGGCCACTTGGATATTTATAACATCATTGCAGGCCATTCAAAGTTATCAACTTAAAAATTAGCTATGAAAAAAGCTCCTAGATTTATTGAATTTCAAGTCCTGCCTGCGGTTGCCTTGGCAGAGCCAGACCAAATGATTTTGCGGGCCATATATGGCCTGCGCGCCGGATATTCCCCACCCTTGATCTGAAGGATATATAAAGAGGGAGATACCATTTTTTATGTTAGGTAATTTTTCTCATTATGTATAAAAGCCACACAATCCTTAAATTTAATCATCTTTACTATTATCCTTTCACCAGTAAGAAGACTGAGGCTCAGAAAGTTTAACTTTCTAGAAAGTTGCAGAACCATCTACATGCAATAGACATGGAAACCTACAGCATTTTACAAGTACTTAGTGTCTCATCTGCATCAGACACTAAATGTTTCAAAACTAAAAAAAATAAATTGTCTCTGTCTGTATTTAAGAAAGTTGTTTTTTAACCTACATTAGTGTATTTTACCATGCAATATTCCTTCAAAAATAATCCTCCACTATTGAGGGTATAAAATGATAACTAGGCAAATAAAAATGTTCCATTAAGTTTTTTCAATTTTCCTGAATAAAAGAGATTTGTGTCTTAATGCATAATGATTGCACATGTGAAAGAGAGGGAGAGAGCATATGGCACGCTAAACTTCAATAAAATAAAAAATTCCCTTAAAATGTTTTAAGCCCTGGCTGGTGTGGCTTAGTTGGTTGGGTGTCCTCCCTTGCACCAAAGTGTTGCCAGTTCGATTCCCAGTCAGGGCACATGCCCAGGTTGCAGCCCGATCCCCTGTAAGGGATGCACAGGAGGCAACCAATTGATGTTTCTCTCTTTCTTTCTCTCTCCCTCTCTCTCCCTACCTTCCTCTTTCTCTAAAATCAATTTTAAAAAGCTTTAAAAATGTTTTAAGAGTTTCTCTGGATGTTTTCATGAACATTAAAAAATGTTCATTCCATATATACTAGCTACCTCAACCTCAGTAAGTCAAAACATCTGATTGTAAAGCGAAATTCTTAATTAGCAACTCATAGGGCCAATAAATGTAAACTCATCTAAGTCCCCTCCTAAGGAACTAAGACAAAAATAGTTTTCCAAAAGTTTTAAATCAAAGAAGAAAGCATAAACTTATAGCAGGACTTTTCCATCTATACCGGCTGTCTGAGCCACGGTCCTTGAGAAACACACCGCATGGCATCTACCACTGCAGGGAGTGGCGAGGTCCGGGCTCCGGAGCCTGGGACTCCCAGCTCTGCCATTCCCTGCCTGTATCTCTGAACAAGATGCTTAACCTCTTAACTTTCCATCTGTGTGATGGACATACCAAGTACCTATCTCACAGAGTTACCCTGAGAATTAAATGAGATAATGCATGTGAAGCAATCAGCACGGGCTGGACTCAGGAGGAGCATTCCCAAGTGTTAGCTAGTACAGTCAGCTGTCACTCTCCATCTGTAGAATGAAGACAGAAGTTTCATCTTAGCAAACGAAGTCTGTGTTGCCAGATGTTATATCTTTCACTTAAAGGAAGAAACTGAGTTACCTCAATCTAAAAATCCACTAGACAACCTTCTATATCCTGGAAACTAAAAATTATAGAGATCTATAAAGGACCTCAAAATATAGTGAAGACAGTTTGTTCCAAAAAAAAAAATTAAAGCATGCTTTAAATTATGAACCCATCCTTATTTTAAGACGAATTCAATATGCTGAACGAAATTTCAGAATTTTTCAAGAATAAGTGTTTGTCTAGTAGCTCTAATCTAACAATTACTCACTGCATTTATCAATCATTCTGAACCTTACTCACTAGAAAGTTATTTGAGGTGTGACGAGTTTTATGTAATGAGGTCGTGATTCACAGGAACTCAAGACCACGTGTTTCCCATTTGAGTTATCAAAAGTCAACACAAACAGGAGTAATCACTATGTAGTCAAGAGCCACACCTTGCCTTCTGCAAAAACTTGGGTTTTTTTCCTCTTCCGTGTCCCTTTCCATATTTTTTAATACAGTTAAATAAAATCTTTACCACCTGAGATGTACATCAGGCCTGCAATAGCACCTCATACCTGTGATTCAGTCCTGGACCCACCTCACTCTACATATTTCTGATAAGTCACTGCCCCATCCCCTAATTTTTAAAGGGAAAGAAATATTTGCCCTACCTACTTCACAGTACACAAATGGTATGTGAAAATATTTGACCCCTCTAAAATAG